TGTGCCTTCTCATTTGGAGAACAGCAACAGGGTGCTGGTTTAGAGCATGCCATACTAGAAAGAGCCCTGGTCATGAGTCAGAGCCTCCAGCTTCTAGTTTTACTTCTTCACAGCTCTGTGATTTTAGGTTGGCCGCCTCCTCTCTGAGGCACACTTTGCAAATTCCCAAAGTGTAGCCCTAAATAAAAGCTGGAGGGCTTTGCGCTGAAGCTTAGTTTCTGGCCTCGTGACTCATGCGCCATTTCTAAGCAGGAAGTCTGGGCTCAAGGCACTAGGCAATGGCTGGTTAAGAGCCCACGCTCTTAGCATCTCCAGGACTCAGCTTCCAGACTCTACTGTACATTGTCACTCATCTTCCTCCCCATACTTTTACCCAAAAAGAATCTCACTAGCAGGTAATTTCCACAAAGGACTAGAATACTGCTTGGCACCTAAGCAACACTCAATAGACAGAGGCTAATACTATTATGATTATTTTCATTTTATTTTTATTTTTTTTGAGACGGGGTCTTGCTCTGTTGCCCAGGTTGGAGTGCAGTGTTACGATCAGTTCACTGCAACCTCCACCTCCTGAGTTCAAGCGATCCTCCCACCTCAGCCTCCCGAGTAGCTGGGACTACAGGTGTGCATCACCACGTCCAGCTAATTTTTTGTATTTTGGGTAGACGTGGGGTTTTACCATGTTGCCCAGGCTGGTCTTGAACTCCTGAGCTCCAGCAATCTGCCTGCCTCGGCCTCCCAAAGTGCTGGGATTACGGGCATGAGCCATTGTGCCCAGCTGGTTATTATTATTATTATTACTGCCTTTCTTTGCTTACTGTGTTAGGCTAATATAAGACGGAATACAACAGACAATTAAAATATGATTGCATCTTCAGGAATCATAAAAATAACAAATTTAAACATTTCTAACCACAGAGAAGGAACCAAGATGAAGAAATGAAGAAATGGGAAGTGAATAATAAAGGTAACACAAAGTGTGGAAGACAAACAAGGGCAAGCACATGTCCTGTAGGGACTGTGTGACTTTGTGGGAAGAAAACCAAATGGGCCACAGTGCAGGCCATGAGCTCTCTGATTAATCCCTCATCGCTTGTACTGATACACCCTGGAGTGACAACTTCAGCTGCTCTCTGACCTGGCTCACACCCTCTACTGAATTAAAGGCCATGAGTCAAAAAGGTGATGAAGCAGGGCTGATACCGGCTGCTGTGGACAGAGTTTACTCTGACCTGTCAATGCCCGCACCTGTCTGGTTGGCACCCAGGGCATTTTGGCTGTTAAATGATTATATCTCTACAAAGTTTCCAGTGAACTCTGAAAAAGCATGTATAACTGGCCAAATTTTTAAAACCGTATTCCTTACATGAATGTGTTCATTTCTTCAACCAATATTTACTGTTTGTTATAAACCAGCCTTGTACTAGACTCTTGGGTGCAGATAAACACCAACATAGGCCTGTCCTCAAGAAGTTCATAAGCCAATGTGTTAAGACAATGGATGTGAATTGTGAATACCTCAGCATTACAGACACTTGGATCAACGAGCACCACATTTTTTAGCATCTAAGTCTGCACAATCTGGAACTGAGGGAAGTATGCTTTTGGTCAATGCTATTTGCTCTCCTATGCATGCTGTGGGTTCTTATGGGTTCATGTCTGACATCTGGGAGGATTTCTTCCCACCTTCACCTATTTGACTTCCACTGTCATCTCAACCTAGTGTTTTAAAAATGAAAGGACTCGACTGGGCGCAGTGGCTCAAGCCTGTAATCCCAGCACTTTGGGAGGCCGAGGTGGGCGGATCATCTGAGGTCTGGAATTTGAGACCAGCCTGACCAACATGGAGAAACCTTGTCTCTACTAAAAATACAAAATTAGCCGGGTGTGGTGGCACATGCCTGTAATCACATCTACTCTGGAGGCTGAGGCAGGAGAATGGCTTGAACTCGGGAGGTGGAGGTTGCTGTGAGCCGAGATTGCGCCATTGCACTCCTGCCTGGGCAATAAGAGTAAAACTCTATCTCAAAAA